CACTTACAGATGTAACAGTCATAGACAATATGAAAATGAATGGGTATGGCGGTGTGCTAATAAAACTTTATTTATAAAAACAGGCAGCTGGCTAACTTTGGCCTCCAGCTGTCATTTGCCAACCCCTTACCCAGTCCCACCTCTTGGCGTGCAGAGGACGAGCAGTGAAATGACTCTTTCACTGTCACAGGGCCATCTGGTTGTCCACCCAACACCGGGGCCTGACTGGTGCCACTTGGTGACAGGAACAGAGGTCCAGCTGCAGGTGTGAGAGCCACCAACGCAGAGGCAAACACGGCCACTTGGATAACTGGAGATTTTGACTAAGACATTTCACTTCGCCAGAGAGGACCAAGGAGCCAGGGGAAAACTCTCCAGCTTACAGTGTAATGGGACTGGGAGAGACAACCGCCACGACAAGCCTGGTTCGTGGAGACGTCACCGCGGGTTACAGCCTTGCGAGTGTTTATTCACGTGCGCTGATCAGCTAGACTCTGCACAATCTTCTAGTGTCTGGCAAAGGGCTGGGAAAAGAGGGAAACGGGAACTGGAAAGCCACTGGCACTTGTCTGTGAACAATGTGAGAAGAAAACAGCAAGTTCACTTTTTCCAGTTGGCAGCTGGTGAGGCCTGGAACAGGACACACGTGGTCAGAAAGCACGAACCCCCTCGCCCAGGGAGGAGAACAGGTTGTTTTGGCTGCCAAGCATTTTCAAAACAAGTTTTCTTGGTCTCATGACAGGTTGTGGCAAGAACAGGAAAATAAAAAGAGTGGAAGATCCCACGATCACTGCTCTGGGCTTCCACGTGGGCTGGCTCTGCCTGCACGGTCAGGCTTGCTCTCAGAGTGTACACAGAAAGCTGGTCTTACGGTTAATACCACCTTACCAGTGACACCACTTAATAAAGCGATTCCCCTAAGAACTAGCTGGCAGCCGGATAACCATTCGAGCCTGGGAGGAACAGGTCAAAGTCACTCTTAAGCCCAAGGGTGCTATTCTCGAAACTACGCCCTGCTTTGTTGGAATTTTCACCTCATGTTCCATGGGCAAGTGATCTCCCTGAAACCGAGGTTACCTGCCCCTCTCAACTGCACAGTGCCTGGTCAGGGTGGGGCACAGGGAGTGGGAAGGAGGCACTGACGGGGCAGACTAGGATCGGCCGGTCGGTCAGAGGAAGCGCCGTTAGCTCCCTCGTGGCAGTGGGCTCACTCTCTGGGGCTTCACAAACTCCCTGGAGAGGTGGAGTCGGTGCACAGAGCTGAGCATGGCAGTGCCACAGGACCCAGAGACAAGCCGAGGTCTGGGGGCCACCTGCCATGTAATCCAAAGACAATATTCAGAAACCAACCCACGAGTGTGCCAGGAATCCTTGAGACCCCGGAACGATGACCGAAGGACCAGGGTAGCAGAGAGAAGACCTGGATCAGCACAGACTCCACGGCCACAGGGCTGCGTCTCACTTACATGGTGAGGCGGCCACACTGTCCTTCCTGCTCCAGACAAGTGATCCTCAGATTACCGGGGGCCTGTGCTTAGCCCGTGACCCTCACGCCTGGATCCACGCCTTCCTCCATGAGGGATGAAGGGGGTTCCCGCTGTGGGAAGAGGACCCTCCCCACGGAGGCCTGCTGCTACTCCATGAGATAAGCTACCAGACCACAGGGGCTGTCTTCGTTCTGTCAACTGTGTGCAAGAATGCTCTGAAGACAGAACATTCTCTAGGGGACCCTGAAGTGGGAGGAAGTCGAGGCTGATGCGTGTTCAGGCCTCAGAACAGAGAGGAGGGGAAGTGTGAGGCTGGGACAAAGCCTTCTTCCTGCTTCACCCCAGTCCCACCCATCAGCATTTAAGGTCCCTACCCAAGAAGTGATTAAAAGGCACTGTCCAAAGCCTGCTGGGCAGAGCCTGCATCACGTGAGAGAGAAGACGGGGGAGCGCCCTTCTCCAAACATGTACAGATTGTGCCGGCTGATTCCTGGGCTACCTCTCAATACAAGATGCCCAGTTAAACTCTAATTTGAAATAGACAGAAAATAACTTTTTAGTATAAATAGGTTCAAAATACCACATGGGATGTATATCTAATAAATCATCTGGCCTTTATATAAATTCAACTAGACTCCCTGCATTTATAATTGCCAACGCCAGCTATCCTAACTCCAGGAACTCTGCGGCTGGCGGCAAAGAGGGACGAAAGGGCTAAAGACAAACCTTCCTTTATGGTGCTCCCCGCGTGGCCCCAGGTCTCAGTTCTCACCGCCTTTATTGCTACTTCCACAGCCCATGTGGATCCACCCCAAAGCAGGCCACCGGCCCCACGTGCACTCTGTCAAGGAAACTCTCACTGCTCGCAAAACAAGAGACGGTGCGTCCCCGCCTGGCAGTCAGCCACCAGGGCCACGGCAGCACTGCGTGGGCATTCTACAGTCCTGGGCGCACTCAACACTCGCGAGCCCCTGTGAGGAAGGACCGTTAGCCTCTCGGACAGATGAGAACACCAAAGCCCAGAGAAGTCAAAGGAAACAAAAGCCATCCCAGGAAGGACCTGAGACCTGGTGGCCCGACTCCATGGTGCACTCTCCCCCGGAGAACTCTGCTGCTGGCCTTGTTCCTGCCTGCCCCCACCCCTGCCCACTGTGCCGTTGTCAATGCTCGCTGGCCCACCCAGGGCCCCCAGGCTGCCCTTCCGCTGGGGCTCTGGACACAGAAATGTCCTCCTCCATCCCTGCATGTGGCACCCCACCCTGCCTCCACGGCCGGCCTCCCAGATATCAGGACCCTGACCGCACGTGCAGCCCCTTGAAACAGAGCTCTCTCTACGTGGAATCTGTACCCCTCCTCTGGGCTTGCAGAAAGCAGGCACTGCGCCTTACACATCACCAACATGTTGCCCCTCATACCTAATCATGCCTAGTTTGAATTAAAAAAAACATTTCTTGAATGAATGACTGGAAAAACGCTAGTGAACTGGGCAAAATCTAATGAAAACGTTTGCCATGACAGATCCACACTGGGACTGGCCAAACCTGAGTGTCGGCCCAGCCAGATAGCCTAGACGCCCTACAGTCTTAAAAACACAGCTGGGCTCAGTGCCTGGTGAACTGCGAGAACTCGGGCCACCAGTGCGAGGAGGAGAGGAAGTGCAGCACAGGAACAGATGCCAGCCGAAAAGCCTGGGAACCAAGGCTTAGTCTCAGTCCCTGCACTAAGCTGCCTCTGTGAACTTGGTCAAGTCACTTCACATTGTAAGGCCTCAACTACACAATCTGTAAAATGGGCACAATAGTGGCATCACTCTCATAGGGTTCTTAGGAGAACTGCAGGAGTTAAAATATACAAAGCAATATATAGAGCTCTGCTGGTACATTTTAAGTACTCAATACCTTCTCATTACTGGTAGTATTATGACCTAGAAGATGGGCAGGAGGGACTGGCTGGCCACTGGCATTCACTTAAGAGAAAAACCATGCAGTATTATCCTTACAAGTTCATTAACACACATTTTACTTTTCTGGACAACTGCAACAATGACATTTTAAGGATTATCCGATCCCCTAAATGATTATGGAAAACCTTGGTTTGTTAAATACTGATTTTTAGTCTGGTTTTTGGAAGAACCACACAACTTCTTGCTGTGCTGCAGTTCAGACCCATGTTCAGTCTACTGAGTAGTTAATGCTGTGGACAACCCTCCCATCAGAAGGGAATCTCAAGCAAGACTGGGCCACTCTAGAAATTGGTCAGCAGGCTTTGTAGATGGGGCTTTTCAAAACACATGAGGGAGAATTTTAGCACACGGAAAGGAGCCGCTGTGTGTGCATGTGTGTGCATATGTGTGCGTGTGTGTGTGTTTTGCAAACCCAAGAGCTTTGCACACATGTAGCTTACATAGGTAGTGAGCTGCTGTATGTTTGCTGGGTGGAGTCTGCAACAGACCACCGCAGCTGCACACAGAGGGCATCAAGGCTTGTTAGGGGAGCCTGGGAAGACACTGTCACGCCCTGCTTCTTAGAGTCACAGCTGCTCCAACCATCCCTGATGTCCACGGCACATCTACCTGGCAGCTCCGCCCTGCCCAACACGGCACATAAGGTGACAAACCACTGCCTTTTTTTTTTTCCAGCTCAGAAGCAACTTTAGATTAAGAACTACCCCAGATCACCCCATCTTCACTTCTGCTTTTTTGGTTTCCATTTTCCATGAAGCATGACTAAGTGCCAGAGGTTCGAGCTGGGAATATAGGAGTCACTGGGATTTCCTGGTCTCTTCTCAGCTGTGCAGCACTATCTTTTCCTTTGGCTTGCTCCATGACAATGCCCTTTTCCTCTTTAACCCACAGGCCCTCGTGATGAGCCTCGCCACAGGAACATTTTGCATTCTTTTAAAGGTACTTTGGTGTCAGGTCTGTAGATTCTCTGCTTTAGATTTCTGCTTAAGAACACCTGGGTTTTCCCCATCAGCTTGGCCATCTTCAGCCTCCTGGGTGAGCCGTAGGAAGAAGGCCCTGGCACTCTGGCTAGGCAAGTGGGTGCAGGCCTATAAGCAGGCTGGCCTGCAGCCCTTGCGTCCACTGTGCTGCTCCTGTGAGCAGGGGAGCAAGAAAGAGGCTGAGTAAATACAGGAGGTCAGAGGTGATCTGGGCTGGGCCCTGCACTGGTAATCACGGGCCCAGGGTTCTAATCTTGAACAAGTTCTTCCAGGAAATGAAGATGATGAATTGAACGTCAACTCCATGCCAATCACAGTTCTAGGAGTTTTACATCAATTGTTTCATTTAATTTCCACCACAATGGTTAATGCCTGCCATGCTTGGACCTTTGGAGCACTTCGGAAGTTCGTTCCGCATCCCATGCCCTGAGACTGCCCTACTGTGGACTTTACCTTCTTCGGATGCATTTCTGCTTGGCCACTCAACTCAGCTGTGCAGTTGGCTGTGAATTCTGCTGGTCACTAGAATCCGGGTAACTGCCCCCACACCTGGCCCCCATGTTCACTCACCTCTGTAAGCCCTGCACTTTAATAAGGAACGAATCTGGTTCGTGTTCACAGGTGGTTCTTATGCTGAATGACCTGACAACAGACGAGACAGAATCTCATTTCTGCAGAAGCTAGGCCTCGGCTTGTCATTATGATCTGCACAGAATGGACAACCCTCATTGTTCTTTGATGCTCCACCTCCCCTTTTTTTTTCTAGAATTCATGCCTTAATGAGAAGTGATAGAAACTAGCAGCTTGGCTCTCCTGCCTTGGCTGGACTCCACATCACATATGACAGCCCCGAGCAGCCCTGGCAGCACCTGTCAGAAGCCAACATGTACATCTGAACAGTCGAGCCTAATTCCCAAGAAGCTGTTTGAACTTGACATCTGAAAATGTACCGCAACTAGAATTACTGCACTGGGTGTGTGTTCAGGGTATATGTGTGCACGTTCATAACCAAAGTGTTCTATAAATATCAGATACGGGCTGTACAAAAAAGCATCACGTACAGGGTGTACTTAATTCCATTCAGTAATGTTTTCAGTTGGTATCTGACCTCTGGCAACAGAGATGGAAGTTTTTTTTTTTTTTTTTTGACAGGCAGAGTGGACAGTGAGAGAGAGACAGAGAGAAAGGTCTTCCTTTGCCGCTGGTTCACCCTCCAATGGCCGCCGCTGCAGCCGGCGCACCGCGCTGATCCTGGCAGGAGCCAGGATCCAGGTGCTTTTCCTGGTCTCCCATGGGGTGCAGGGCCCAAGCACCTGGGCCATCCTCCACTGCACTCCCTGGCCATAGCAGAGAGCTGGCCTGGAAGAGGGGCAACCGGGACAGAATCCGGCGCCCCAACCGGGACTAGAACCCGGTGTGCCGGCGCCGCAAGGTGGAGGATTAGCCTATTGAGCCACGGCGCCGGCTGAGATGGAAGTTTTTCAACACCAGTGAAAAACTATGCTGAGTTGCGTTAAATATAATTTTCATTTAAAGTCGCAGAAATACATCAGAGCTTAGCAATCACCAGGTAGGTACTAGCCCAGAACCACTGGTCTTCAGAAAGTTCATGGAAATGTGCATTGTGAAAAGCTATATGTGTATTTCAAATATTTTTGTACCAAAATAAACTTATCATTTAATCCCACCTTTCCAAGGGTTTTCTGGAGGACCCCTGTACTTTCAGACAAGGGTACTGAAGCTCAGAAAGCAGACCATCACACAGGAAATTGATAATGGTGTCCAGATGAGACCCACGTCTCCCATCTACCAGGCCACTGCTCTCTGCATCTTCTCCACTTCCTGTATGTTTCTTCTCCCACCAGTTCAAAGGCAACTCTGATTCCATGCAGAGGCACAGGTTCCTACTTTGGTATATTATAAAAACCCCAAACGTGCTCCTCTGCCCATTCCTTTCTGAGCCTATAAGGCATCTGTATATTTTTCTAAAGAGGACAATATATGACAAGCAGAAAAGTCGCTCTACTGGCTGATCCCAGACAGGTTCCCAATGGCAGTGGTCGGCGGTGGGGAGTGGGGGGGGGTCATACCTGGATCCCGTGGGGAGCGGGGCGGCGTCACACCCAGAACCCAAGCCTGAGCACTCCGCAGCCCTCCCAGGGGCACAGCTACGCTGGTTTCCCTGACAAAGAGGTGCTGACCTTCCAGCACAGACTGTCCTGATACGCCACATTCAGCGCAGCTTCTGGCTTGTGTGGCTGAGGGGAGGAGGTAAGCCCCGGCCGTTTCCACCGAAGAGAGCCAGTGAACAGGGGATGCGGTCCTTAGAGCAGCCCTCGGAGGAACCCAAGGGGAGGGCCTCGGGGAGGGTGCCCTGCTCCCTAGTCCAGCCTGAAGGAGGCAAGGCGGTGCCCTGCTGAGCGCTGGGCGAGCGGTAAGCACTGGCCAGCTTCTGCCTGGTGCAACATGCATCAGGACACGCCTCCTCTCTGACCTGGGCGACTTGGAGAGGAAGCCTGCGTGACAGGCACTTCTGGATTCAGCCCCCTCCCAGCTGCTCTCCTCCAAAAGGAAAACAAGCCAGAGGCCTCGAAGGCACTTCTCAAAATGATGTGCTTGGAGGGCTCAGGCACCCAGCGCTGTTCCGTGGCCTGGACTGGGCCTCCCGCTCCCGTCACACCTTCTAGCTCTCAGCCCACCAGGGTGCGCCCAGCGGGGCAGGTGAGCTCGCTCACGCAGGCGTGGCCTCGGGGACCTCCGCCTTCTGCCTTCTGTCTCTCTGGCTCCCAGCACTACTTCCTTTACTGTCCCCTCAGGGTGATCTGATCGCCCAAGCTCTGCTGCTGTCCCGGGCCTGGAAAATTCCCTCTTCTCTCCCGAGGGGAGTTCAACCGAGATGAGGCTGGGAGTTTTTAAAGGGAACTATTCCTAAGAAACGCAGGGCAAAACAGAAGAGAAAAAGAACACCCGTGAATCATCGCAGCAGTCGGGCTGGCAGGTTCTGGCGCCGAGGCCCCTGGGGCACAGCCTCTGCCCGCCTGCACTTGGCCTTCTTCCTGGCCATCACTCTTCCTGCCCAGGGCTGCAGCTGCTCCCCGCTGCAGAGCGAGTGTGGGCAGTGAGCAGTTACAGCTGGCCGTGGCTCTTGCTTCCTGCTCACCCCCCTCACCCTTGGGTGCCAGATGGGCGGTCCAGGAATATGGACATGAAGGGGAGATAAAGGCTGGGCGTGATTAGTGGGGCCATGAGAGTGTTGGGGACAAGAGAGTGTTGCAAAGCCTGCACCTCGCTTTTCCTGGATTCTAAGCAGTGTCTGGAAGAAAAGGGTGAGGACAAGGAGGAGAAGCACGGTGTGACCATGTCCGAAGCTGGTCCAGCCTGGGACCAAGCAGAGGCACTGCAGGGTGAGGCCTGGCACAGAAACAAAGCATCCTGAGGGCTGCCTTAGGGGCTCCCAAGAGGCAGGGAAGACACGAGTGATGAATTCCCGGGGAAGCAGACACAAACAGGCGCACAGTAAACCAGTCACGATTCATGGGCACTCCTGCCCCAGCCTATCCTGCCCCCCCCCCCCAATTCTCAGGCCATGCCCTGAGGCACCCTGCTAAGACCAGGATTTGCACACTGTGTCCCATGGGGTCCCAGAGGGGCTTCGCCATGTCAGGGTGGAGACAGGGAGCAAATGTGCGCAGACACCCACACACCCTCTACACGCACCCCGTTGTATCAAGGGGAGGAAATCTGTTTTCATCTGTTTTATGTAAAGGGCTAATGCACAAGCTTGGGTTGAAGCAACTGGCAGCTAGGAAGAAGTTCAGAGAAAAGAGTGTCTTTGGAATCACTGGGATAGTAACAATGAAAAATAACTGAATCAGCCCAAAATGTACAATTAGGGGCCAGCGCTCTGGTGCAGCAGGTCAACGCCCTGGCCTGCAGCGCCAGCATGCCATATGAGCGCTGGTTCTAATCCCGGCTGCTCCACTTCCAATCCAGCTCTCTGCTGTGGCCTGGGAAAGCAGTAGAAGATGGCCCAGGTCCTTGGGCCCTGCACCCCCATGGGAGACTGGGAAGAAGCTCCTGGCTTCTGGCTTCGGAATGGTGCAGCTCTGGCCGTTGCGGCCATCTGGGGAGTGAACCATCGGATGGAAGACCTCTCTTTCTCTCTCTGCCTCTCCTCTCTCTGTGTAACTCTGACTTTCAAATAAATAAATAAATAAATAAATCTTTTAAAAAATGTACAATTTTTTTATTTTTATTTTTTGACAGGCAGAGTGGACAGTGAGAGAGAGACAGAGAGAAAGGTCTTCCTTTTGCTGTTGGTTCACCCTCCAATGGCCGCCGCGGCCGGTGAGCTGTGGCCGGCACACCACGCTGATCCAATGGCAGGAGCCAGGTACTTATCCTCGTCTCAAATGGGGTGCAGGGCCCAAGTACTTGGGCCATCCTCCACTGCACTCCCTGGCCAAAGCAGAGAGCTGGCCTGGAAGAGGGGCAACCGGGACAGAATCCGGCGCCCCGACCAGGACTAGAACCTGGTGTGCCGGCGCCGCAAGGCGGAGGATTAGCCTAGTGAGCCATGGCGCCAGCCAAAAAATGTACAATTAAAATATTCTTGAAGGAGAAAGTTATTCTGCAAAGACAACTAGATGACAAACAATAAAAGTGTGTTTAGGGCCGGGGCTGTGGTGTAGTGGGCTAAGGCTACATCTGTGGCACCAGCACCCCATATAGGCACCGGTTCAAATTCTGGGTGCTCCTCTTCCAGTCCATCACTCTGCTATGGGCTGGGAAAGCAGCAGAAGATGGCCCAAGTGATTGGGCCCCTGCACCCACGTGGAAGGCCCAGAAGAAGCTCCTGGCTCCTGGCTTCGGATCAGTGTAACTCCAGCCACTGTGGCCATCTGGGGAGTGAACCAGCGGATGGAAGACCTTTCTCTATGTCTCTCCCTTTCTCTGCAACTCTACCTCTCAAATACATAAGTAACATCTTCAAAAAAAAAAAAAAAAGTGTGTTTGGTGACAAGCAGCATATGGGACATTATGGACCACTTTGGAAGGGTATGGACAGCTTCTTGCGTAAGAAAATAACAACTTTTTCTGACCTTGAGGCGAGAAGACAAATAAAGAATTGTTATAGGAGGTTCACGATGAATTATTCCCATGTGTTGACTGAGAAGCTATTTTTTAAAAATATCCTTTAGTTATGCCTTTTATATTACAGATTTAATGTGTGACAAGCCATTACAGTAGGTGGTTTGGGGATTAAATTCTATCCTAAGGGGCTTGTGCTGTGGTGTAGAGGGTAAAGCTGCTGCCTGCAGTGCCAACATCCCATATGGGTGCTGGATTTAGTCCTGGCTGCTCCACTTCTGATCCAGCTCCCTGCTATGGCCTGGGAAAGCAGAAGATGCACCCACATGGGAGACCCGGAAGAAACTCCTGGCTCCTGGCTTCAGATCAGCACAGCTCCAGCCATTGTGGCCATCTGGGGAGTAAACCCCTGGATGGAAGACCTCTCTCTCTCTGCCTCTCTGTAACTCTGCCTTTTTTTTTTTTTTTTTTGACAGGCAGAGTTCAGACAGCGAGAGAGACAGAGAGAAAGGTCTTCCTTCTGTTGGTTCACCCACCAAATGGCTGCTACG